ACTAGGTTTTATAGATTTAAATAATATAAATATAATAAAATGTATGGTAAGTTTACCATGAAAGCTCAATATATATTTTGCAGACTTTTTCTTTCCAAGGTGGTAATTTTTGTATAATACTTTGTATTGTAATTTTATTAGTTATAACTATTAAAATTAGAATCTTTATAACTGTTAAAGAGAAACAAGAGGCATTTTATCATCTCTGTAAGTCTTATTATTTAAAATGCTTTAAAACATAGAACTTTGAGGTGGTTATTATCAGAAGTAATTAAACAACACATTTGAATTTTTATTTATTAAAAAGGTCACTTTTTATTTTATAATAGAACATGAAGATAATTCTTCTCGTAGTTTTGTATATATCTTTTGTTTATTCAATAAATCCAGAAGGAACTTCTACAAATCAACCTCCACTTTCTCAATTCAGTTCCAATTTTCCTTCTTCAGAATTCATCAAAAAATTAAGACGATATTTATCAAAAGGGGAAGTCTATGTCTTGGATTTGCATGTGTTGTGGAACAGAGCCAAACGACATCCCAAATTTTATCCACCAGAATATATTAATGACGCTTTCAAAATGAAAGAGGATGAAATAAACAATATGGAATTTATCAAAGCTTTTATTGAAACAAAAGATCTAAATAAAGAAAAGTGTATGAAATGGATTCGTGACATTAAAGATATGTACGAAGTAAGAGCAGACAAAGTCGGGTATGGCCATTTTCTTTTGGGTATTCCAGATTTAAAAGAGAATATTCTAAAGGACAAACTTATATCTTTAGCAAGACAAAGGGGTTATATTAATCAACTTTTTCTCGATTTAGAATACTTAAAAGAAAAATATAAAATAATGTTGTTATTTGCAAAAGAGTGTGGATTGGAAAGTACAGATGAGTTTGGTTTGATCAAACAAATATTTAAAAATTTTATTGAAGCTATTGAGAACAAAAGAAATGATGAAGGTTATGAAGAATCACAACTGAAAGAAAGAAGAGAGAATTTATTTGGGAGATTCACACGAGATGCAAGTTCTAAAAGATCAAGTAGAAGAGTACCAAAAATTCCAAATCAATCATTTGAAAACAAATAAAACAATCATTTAATAGAAAATTATATGTTGAGAATGGTTATATTTCTTTATATATTAATCATTATAATTACAGAGTAAAGGAATAAGAGAGTTGACAATATTTAGGTACTTGACCTATATTATATTAATTATTTATTAAGTATAAAATTTGTACTGTTTAAAAATGTTTTAACAGTTTTTCAATCAATAAGAAATAATTATTAAACATAGGTTAAGTATTTGAGTATTGTCAAGCCCCTTATTTTTTTAAAATATAAAACAGCAATTGAAACTCTTTTTTAAACAAACTTATTGAATTCAGTTTTACTGTACTTAGAATTAAAGACAAATAAGTAATGAAAATGAATCTAATTCTAGCGATGTCATTTTAAATATCATTAACAACAAATTTAATTGTTTAAAATTATAAAATTATACAACAAAGAATCAATAACGATCTTTTATGAAATTCAATTTAAAAGTTCAATTATTAATCATTGAACTTTAAATCCTGAATAAATAAGAAACAAAAAGACTACAAAATAATAAATAAAATTTATATGAAATTAGAACCATTTTATTTGGCGAATGTGGTGCTTTACATCAACGACAAAATGCTATTTAAAACACTCCGTACCGTTTCTAAAAGTATAACTATAGCAATTGACATGTTACGAACAAACCCTATTTATATTACCAGAAACCCTAAATACGTTTGCTCTGTTTTTCCAAAAATCAACACTTTTCGGTCGACGCCTTCATTTTCGTACGATCTTTTAAAAGCGTTTCGAACTAAAATTTCATTTTTGGATTTTTCACAAGAAATTTTCAGTGTTGACAATAAAGTTTTTTTAGATGAAGAATTTTGCAATAAAGTTGTCTCTCTTCGTATTTTCCAAACGGATTTAACTAAAATTGGCCGTTTCAAAAAATTGAAAAAATTGTATGTAGAAAACTGCGCAAATTTCGACGATTTTAAGATGTTAGAAAATATCGAAGATCTCCGCGTGATCACTTTCTATATGAAAAATTCAAAATTGAAAAAACAGAAGAGCGCCATTTATAAAAAGTTTTCGAAGTCGGAAATATTTAAAAATCAAGGGAAATTTAGAAGAACAAAAATTTGGTTTGTCATCGACGAAAAGGCCGACAACCCACAAGAAGATCTGATGGAAAACGTCGCGTTTTATTACTATGAAAATTACAAAATAATTAAAGAGTCGCACGCAAATTTTTTATTACAAAAACCGGAGATTAAATACACTTTTAATAGTCAAAAAGAGGACGATGAGATATATATTGAAAATTTCGAAAATGTCGAGGTCGATATAATTAGTGCCGGTGATGTGAAGTTACAGAACATTCAAACTAATAAACTAAAAGTGACTAATATAAACAGTGAAATTTCTTTGGTTATCCCCAAAGTTGATGAAATTTCGGTGATTAGTGGAAATGAACGCACTGTTGTTGTAAATCCCAAAGAGCTATTTTCAGCGTTTAATGTCATGTTAAGCGGAAATGTCTCTCTTTTAGAATCACAGTTTTGTTTCAACAAAAATCTCCGGCAATTAAAGGTTATTTCTGTAAGATTTTTTGATTTTAGTGTTTTTTTGTGTCCAAATCTTGAAACCGCTGATATCGAAGCGGATTTCGAGAGGCTTGACTTTTCGAAGTGCAACAAACTTTTGTTTTTAAAAACTAAAAATTACGACCGAAGAGGATCAATTTTAGTTCCAAATGGTGTTGAACATTTTGAAGCTGTTGGAACTGGGAATGGAATTTCTATATTTGGGGCGGGTGTTGATACAAAAGTGACTGGAAACGTCATTGAATTTTGTATTCCCCAAATTGAATTTGAAACTTTGTTTCTCGACTTGTCAACTGATTTTCAAACAACAAAAATCACCTTTTCTGAATTTTTGGAAACGAAAGTAATAAAAAAGAAAGTTCCTATTTTAAGAACAAATAACGTGAAAATAAATGGATGTTTTAATATTGACACTTTGGCACTTTTGTGCGGCACTAAACATGTTGAAATTTGTAATAACAAATTGTTGAAGTTAGATATATATATAACAGATACGGAAGGTATGGTATTCAAAGAATTTGTTAAAGGACAAATAGAGTATTTAATAAACACTAAAACTGATTCAAGAAAAAGGAAAAAAGATTACGACAATGAAATACGAAAACGTCTGAAATACTTGGACATTTCTGATCACTCAAAAAAGTGTGTGAGTGGGTGGGAAAACATTGTGCAAAATCCAAGTATCCATTTTTATATTGAAGAAAATGTTGGAGATGGGCAGAAAAAGTGGAGCAAAATGGAGAAGTAAATTACTTCGAGTTTTTCTTATAATTTAATTTATTTTCAATTAGTTATTCTAATATTACAACACACAAAACATAACAATTGTGTATTGCTAACACAACGATAATTGTTTATTTGTTAAATGTAACAAATTATTTAATTGTGAACAAACTGATATCGACTATGTGTCCATAATAATAATAATAATAATAATATATAATAATAATAATAATAATAATAATAATAATAATAATAATAATAATAATAATAATAATAATAATAATATATTATTATTATTATTATTAATATACTATACTATTAATATATTAATATAATATATTATAAAAAAATGCAATAAAACACTCCAAAAATGTATTCATTCATTCACTTGATTCTTGTCCTTCTTGTTCCTTGCGTCTTTGCATTTTTTTGTGTTTTTCTTTTCGTTCTTCATCCGTGATATTTTGCTTACGCACGACGCCCTGATTTTTCTTTTCTTCGAAGAGTTGTTTGTTCCTCTCGTTTTTTTCCATTTGGCGTTTTCGATTTTCTTCGACCTTTTGTGCTCTTTTTTCCTCTCGCAATCGTTTGAATTCCTCCAACTTGACAGGACACTTTTCGAGCAAATGCCCTACATCTCCACACACACAACACACATTAATAATTTTCCCGTTCTTGTCATACAAAATGACTCTAAAAATTAACCGCCCTATTTTTTTCCCATTGAATGCCAGTCGAATGTTCTTAGCTGTTTCTAAGTCCTTCACAACAAGTTTTGCGGCGTGTCCCTTCAACTTCCCCTTCTTTGAAATGACCTGACGAATTCTTTTAATGTCGTATTCCTTTAACTCTTCACGAAGATCCTTTGCTTTCATTGCACTCGGAATATCAATCAGATAGACGGTGCATTGGGTGTAATCGTTTTTATCTACTTTGGCGTGGATCGTCGTCCCAGCCATCTGCGTGCAATTGCGAGAACTTGCTAAGTGAAAGGCATCATTGCTTGTTGGAAGCTCAACATACCAATTCCCCATTTCAGTGTCCGCCTCATACGTTGGAATGTCACTCGATATCAACTCAAAAGAAGACAATTTCTCTTGGAGGTCTTCATAGGTTATACCGGGATTTAATCCATCTAATTTAACAGTGATTTCACCAGTTAAATCCACCATTACTCTTTAATTTTATAATTGGAGTTCTGTTTATTCTACGTTTGAAATTACTAAAAAGGGTTACTATTATTTATTTATTTTTTCGATTGGGATGAATAACAAAACAAAAACAAAATCACAAATAACAAATAACAAGGAATGGTACCCTTGGCATTGGTAGGATAGTTCTTTTATTCAAAAAAGAATGAAAATAAATTTATATTATATTAATAATATCGACTTATCATTTAAAAAATACACGAGTTTGAATTGCATTAAATTGCATATTGCAACAATACAAATCACTTTTTTGAAATTGTAAAATCTACATCTTCGCGAAATTGCTCAAATAAAGAATCACACATAAATCAAATTTTTAGGTTTTTTTTTATTTTTTAATGATTTTAATTATAATTATTTTTTAAAAATGAAAATAATTAAAATTACTTTATAGACTTTGTTAGGTTAATAGAGTCATTTTCTAAACTTTCTCCAACTTAGTCTTTCAGTTTTTGATGTCAATAATAGGAATATATCAGAAAAAAAATTTGAAACGTTAGAAAATTATTGTTTCAGTTTTTTT